GTGAAAAATATGTATTTTTTTCGAAAAACCCAATTTTTGCAAAAACTATCAAATATTTTGCAATTTTCCATGCACTTATTCTACTTACCAAGAACTATTCAAGTGAAAGTTTCGTAAAAAGATCTATTTTCATTATAAAGAGATAAGACGTTTAAAAAAACACAATTTTTAGCAGTTTTTTTGCAATAACTAATACATTTTTTTATCAATTGACATTGGACTAGGTCCAAAATTTTCGTTATAAAAAGTTCAACAACTTTAGTTTTCGTTTTAATGGAAAAAAAATATTTTTTTCGAACTTTGCTAACATTCAGCTGGGATAAAGCAGTTCATTCAATTCTACAGATTTTTTCCTAATTTTTACGTGTCTATTTAGCTTTTCGCTTATAACTTTTTTTCCGTTCATTTCCACGAGAAACAGTAAATTACTTCTTTTTTCGTCTTCAAAAGACCTACAAAACTAGCCCTCGAGCGTCAAAAAATATTGATTATATCCAAGGACATTTAAATAAAGGGGACTTAATTATTTACATTTCTAGATGAAGCCTGGTCTATTCACAGTCTAATTGTATCATTGTTGTCAGCTGTATAATTATACTGGAAATGTACTTAATATTTTTATCGCAATTGTGGAAATTATTATTATAGGATAGTATTATTAAGTTATGCATACAATATTGTTAAATTCTGTACATATTAAACTATTTTTCATTTTTCATATTTGCCATGTTTGAAGACTTGGCNTGTCGAACTAGTTAGAATAGCAAAGATAAGTATAGAAGATTGGCATAGGTTTATAAATTATATCCGGGAAGAAGATCAAAAAATCTTTACTTGAGAATATCGTTTCATCAGTAACATATTAAGCCAGTCAAATTGTCGAAAACATTTAGTTTTTTTGCCAAAATTTAGTTCAGACACGTAAAAATTTGGAAAAATTCCGAAGAATTGAATGAACTACTTTATCCTCAGCTGAATGTTAAGGCTTCATTTTCAAAATGGTGTCCAAAGTTCGCAAAAAACAGTTTTTTTCATTAAAAAAAAAACATACATTTTAGAAAAAAAATGTTTTAGATAATAACTTTTTATAACAAGTTTTTGCATAAATTCAGGTTTTATAAATTTTTTTTTTTTGTTTCAATACAGTTAATAAAAAAATCCCAGCTTTCAAGTAACAATAATGCAATTCCGATTAAATTTCAACGATAAGAAAAAGACCTACATTTTCGACCCAAAAAAAGAAGTTAAAGTTTCGGTAGATTTTTTGCATATTTTCAATTATTTTGCAATACGCTCACAATTTGCACAGGAAAGTACAACTCTTACAGAAAATTTTAAGCCCAAGATGGGTCACGTAAGTGTATTACTGTTTGATTTATTGAAATGTGAAAAATATGTATTTTTTTTCGAAAAACCCAATTTTTGCAAAAACTATCAAATATTTTGCAATTTTCCATACACTTATTCTACTTACCAAGAACTATTAAAGTGAAAGTTTCGTAAAAAAAATCTATTTCATTTTAAAGAGATAGACGTTTAAAAAAATACAAATTTTAGCAGTTTTTTTGCAATAACTAATACATTTTTTTATCAATTGACATTGGACTTGGTCCAAAATTTTCGTTATAAAAAGTTCTACAACTTTTGTCTAAAACATTTTTTTTAGTTTTCGTTTTAATGGAAAAAAAAAATTTTTTTCGAACTTTGCTAACATTCAGCTGGGATAAAGCAGTTCATTCAATTCTACAGATGTTTTCCTAATTTTTACGTGTCTATTTAGTGAACTAAATTTAGGTACGTAAAAATTTAATTTGATTGAACTATTTATATTACCTTAAAGTGGTTCTGAAACTCTAATGTCTCACTAACTATAATTTATGACATAACACGTTGCCACTAGCCAAATAGCGAATAATAAGCTACCTAAGGTGATTAAAAAAAGATCCCAAAGTATAGTTCAGGAAAATAAGTTGGGAAATGACCATTTATCGACTTTTTGTTTCGGCAAGCTGAATTTATCACTATAGATGCTAAATATTATGTACAATAACATATTAGTCTCCACAGTCATAAAAATGGGGGAAGATTGTTTACAGGGTGGTTAATTGTATAATTTTTACGTAAATTCACGTTTTTCGCTTGTAACTTTTTTTTCCGTTCATTTCCACGAGAAACAGTAAATTACTCCTTTTTTCGTCTTCAAAATACCTACAAAACTAGCCCTCGAGCGTCAAAAAATATTGATTAGATCAAAAGTTATAAACAGAAGTTTATTTATGACTTTGAATTAAACATTTTTATAAACTGCGTTATTATTACCAGAAAGTTTTGGCATCGCATTCTCTCATTCCTTATCACTGTCTAATAACTCACACGAAATCTGGAATCGGTAAGTTGAATAGTTGACAAGTTATGGCCTTATAAACAAATTAACTAATTATTAGTCTGGACGATGCCGAGGATCTTCCACAATCGCGCTGATTTTTTTCGTGGTAGATTTCATAATAATACTTTGAAATCTTTCAAACTTTTTTTAATTTCAAATTTGCAACCTGAATTTTTTTTTATTTTTTAGCCTTAGTTGCAAAATGAAATATACGACGCACGAGCGTGATATAGTTATATCACATGTTCGGAAAGCTTAGGAAAAGAGGTTTAAGTTAAAAAAAATCGTCAAGATTTGTTGAAAAACAACGGAATTACAGACTGTCAAAGTTGATGGCCTATTGTTAAACAAATTAGGTTGGTAGCGGCAAAAATAATACTGTCATAACCGGCAACCCGAGTACTTTCCCAGATAAAAATATTTTATTTGTGGAAGTATGTTAAGTGCATAAGAAATATTGTCAAAAGTCAGTGGGTCGCTTGATTTTCCGGCGAGCCGTGGTGCGGCTGAAATGGTGGGGGAAGCGAATGACAGCGAGTCCGAAGAAAATGACGATAATATTCATAGTCCTGCCGTTAAATAAGCGAAATTCGCTTGAAAATAATATATTTGACAGTCTGTAACTCCGTTGTTTTTCAACGAATCTTGACGATTTTTTTTTAACTTAAAGCTCTTTTCATAAGCTTTCCGAATATGTAATAATATATAACTATATCACGCTCGTGCGTCGTATATTTCATTTTGCAACTAAGGCTAAAAAATAAAAAAAATTTCCAGGTTGCAAATTTGAAATTAAAAAAAATAATATATTGCAATGTATTATTATGAAATCTACCATGAAAAAAATCAGTGCGATTGTGGAAGATCCTCGGGATCGTCCAGACTAATAATTAGTTAATTTGTTTATAAGGCCATAACTTGTAAACTATTCAGCTTACCGATTCCAGATTTCGTGTGAGTTATTAGACAGTGATAAGGAATGAGAGGATGCGATGCCAAAACGTTCTGGTAATAATAACGCAGTTTATAAATGTTTAATTCAAAAGTCATAAATAAAATTCTTCTGTTTATAACTTTTGATCTAATCAATATTTTTTGACGCACGAAAGCTAGTTTTGTAGGTCTTTTGAAGACGAAAAAAGGAGTAATTTACTGTTTCTCGTGGAAATGAACGGAAAAAAAGTTCCAAGCGAAAAACGTGAAATTACGTAAAAATTATACAATTAACCACCCTGTAAACAATCTTCCCCCATTTTTATGACTGTGGAGACTAATATGTTATTGTACATAATATTTAGCATCTATAGTGATAAATTCAGCTTGCCGAAACAAAAAGTCGCGTTCAACACTATATTTCCTGGACTAGTAAGTAGTAACAAAACTATAATTAATTCTTCAAAAATTAACAATTTTAATATTTCTATTATATGTTTATCACGATTATTATCTATTGTAATAGGTTTTCCTGCACAAGTAAATTCGAATGAGATCAAAGTGCCGACAACGGAGATGAAACTTGCGCTATAGTCATGTTTTTGGTTCTCCTCGTGTGTTAAGTATCTCGATAAACAAATTAATTACTGAAATCGTCTGCAATGCGCGAAATTGTTGTCCTCGTATCATTTTAAATCTTGATATAAAATGTACATACATTAATCAACCACAGCTTTGTAAATACCTATTTACAATTCAGATAAAACATGTTATCAGTGACGTGACTAGTTCTTTAATTAGTTTATGCTGTCATGTATGACATGAAGCTTTTAACCTCTGAACCAATCTAAACCGTATATTTTGCGTCTTTGATCATTTTCTTACCGTTACCACTTACCAACCACATCGATGTAAGAGAACGTAATGAATTCACCTTCTAATAAAATTACCTTGTACCTTAGATAAGAGCGTACCTTACAAAACAAATGAATATTGGTTGCCCGTAAATATTAACCTCAATGACAAGAATATTATAATTAAACTGCAGCAATGCTTCACAATTTAATTAACTATTATCTTTCACCCTTCACTGCTCGCCGTGCATACATAATAGATTGTGAAGATAAGCTAAGCTCTTACGTAGTATCGCTTTATCGTAAACGCTGACGTAACTCCAGCGCCACAGATCGTACGTCGAAAATCCGCCGAATCGCACACAGCTAGTACGTCCGTTTGCATTAATTTTCTGCTAGTATCGACCGTACTAAACGAATACCCACCATCAGCAGAAGTATCAAGGCTGCCTAGTCTCCGCCATCAGTTGCGGCGTGTCGTCGAAAGTCCAGCAGGCCGGTGAAGCGGGCGAAACAGCGACGTAACGCCGTCACATGGCCCGCCGCGAGAGGGTGTTCTAAATACAAGCGATGGACTTCATAGAGGACTACTACGATTACGATCCGCCGTCGTCTTGTGCTTTTTCGCTTGCAGATAGCCCCGATAGTTTCGTTGTTGTTTATTACGAGGACTGCGATTGGTTCAGAGGTTAATATTATATTTGTATAGGAATTTTTAAAGTGTGTCGTTATCGCTCTGATTATATATGTAGTATTTGTTTGGTTAGTAATTAATTGATTATATTAAATGTTCGAGTACATTAAGCCGTGTTTTCATTTTGTTCTAGACCTAGACGGATCCACCAACAGCCTCAGCGAGAGGAGAAAGACAGGACCACCAGAAAATACCACTGTATACACGGTAAGTACAACAGTAGCAAATGGTTTGTTTAAAAAATGTTTTTAGCTAAACAAAACGAATATCTAAGGTGATAATTGAGCGTAACTCGATCAATTGTTTTCAAGGTGTTCTACGAAATCCATACAAGTCAATAAGTACTTAGACGTGCCTATTTGCATCACCCTGTACACGCTACCGTTCTAAACCAGTTTTTAAAATTGTCAAATGACTCAACCTTGACCCTATTTTGACGTAAAATCGGTAAAGTATTTTACCAAATTAGTCTAGTTAATGTTTTCGGCAGATTCTGTCACCATGGAAATTTAAAAAAAAAATACGTGTGACTTACGCAGCTACTGGCGTTATTTCTCGGAAACCTCAAATGCGTTTCATAATAACACCATTTAACCGCGACACATTCAATTAAGTCACACCTACCTACAGGAGTTATCACAAAATTGTCTATTGGTGCTGGTCCACACTGGTTCAGTCTAGAAGCTGTTAAAATGTGAGATTGTTAAAGATCCGGGAATATGTAATTGCCTTTTAATTTGTTAATTAGGACACTAGCATTTCAAATTCTGAGCACCGTTCTTCATTAATAAAGTAAAAGCATGAGTTTTTCTCATTTAGATGCACGAATGCGTATCGTTGCCAAAGCTGCTTTCAACTCATAGACCAGTGCTTAAGCCATCAAAAATGGTAAAAAGTGAAAAAAAATTATAGTAGGATGAAACCCATTGGAAAAGGAAGAGAATATAACAGAAATGAAAAGAAAAATAATTTACGGGCGATCTGAGGTCGGGAAGGGGAAGGGGGTGAGTTTTTAAGGGTAAAAAACGGTTTATCTTGATTTCCG